TAAGGAAGAATAATTATTTGAAACTACGACTGAAATTATTGCATGTCCACGTACAGTTATTTTCTAAAATTTTGAAATTCGATGCGCCTGAAACTGCCCGAGCTGTTTGAAATTTTATCTTGATTCGTATTGCAGGATGTAGAACAGCTTTTCGCAATTATGAAACTACGGCCACGATTTCCATTCATTGTGTCCAGTGATTAATGCGAAAACTTGGATTGATTTTGAATGACGCATGGCAGCTCGACGAATACATGGACCATTACTCGTAAAATTTTGTTCATTGAATCAGGATTTATTCGTGTTGACACCTTATCTACAGATGACGGCACAGTGTCAAATTGAACATCGTTTTCTATTATGAGTGACACCGTATTCTGTTCAGTTTCAGTGGTGTTTCTTCTTTCAATGTCAGTGGTAAGAAATCAATGTTATCACGCCGACGATAAGGTGTTAATATTCACGACATCTTGAAACGAGGAGCCCGCGGCGATCGCAACGTCTCGGCCCGAAAAAGGCAAGCACCGCGCCATGTTCCCGCGAGCAAGAAAGGCACTGAAGAACCTCGGATTCCTTTAAAAGGATCGCTGAAATCGGGACGGTGTCATGGATCCGACGGCTGTCTTCAAATATTGCTGAGCAACACTCTCGTCTCCACCGGGGAAAATAGAAACAGCCGCTCGAAATACAGATGCTGCACTAACCGAGTTGACCTCGTCGTCTCAAACGTCCTTCGCCAGAGCTTCAAAGAAAAATTAAGGGGCTCTTTCGAAAGCCTTTTGACCCGGAACGAGAACTAGAACGAGAGATCATCCTGAACGGGATTGCGAGCAAATTATTACAAATGATCGTTAGGGCGCAGTAAGGACCACTTGTTATAGTGTTAGAACTATTAGACTGGTTCATCAAGTATTTAGCAATGCGTATGTTTATTTAGACATTTTTTAAGTATTGGTTCTTCTTTAAAATAATTTTTACGTCCTTAACTTATTACACCCTAGTAAACGACGAGATTTATAATTTTATTGTTTTTTATCTTTTATTTTAACAAGAATGTCTAATATTCCAATAACATGATGCACGACTATTTTTAACCCTTCGACACTAGATCCATGGATTGCTAAACACGATTATTTCACACCACTTTAAGAAAAATAAAATAAGATGTATTCATTTAAATGTTCAACAATTTTTACCGTTGTATTCATATAAAGAAAACAAATTTTTCCTTGAATTTTCTATAAATAATCTTTATCGTTAAACGTACCACTGTCGGTCGAGAGACCGATTTCATATTATACAATTACTGAAATTATAAATCAGCTTCCAGTGGAAGTTTGGAATATATTTCCTTTATTCAGGTCATATAGAGTAATATTAAAATTATGAAATACTTAAATAAATTCAATCTTAAAATTTTTAAAAGGCAACACATACTAGTCACTTTCAAATCTCGGTACGTTTAGTGTTAATCATCAAGTTTCCGTATTACTTGATGTTAAAATCATCTTCATCAGCCAATTTTTCCTTTAAAAAATCAAGTGGAAACAAGTCTAAGAAATTAGATCTTTTGAATGTTGCACAGAGCTGATAACAACAGTTCATAATTTATGTGGAGCACCAATCGGTCCCAGGAGAAGCGTCCAGGGGACACTGATTAACCCGAAGAAACCAGTGTGATCGCGTGGGAGGCGTTTAATCGCGTCATCCTACTCATCAAGCAGTCAACAGGCTGCGCGGAACAAGAGTGCATCGAGCGATCCCGACGACAGGTTCGCCCAGGACGCGTCTCGCGACGATACTAATTAATAATACGGTTCGGCCGCCGGGTCTCTAGGCGTCTCAATTATTCGACCGTCGTTCGAATCCGAGCGATTCCCCTCGAACAAAATCCCATTAATTATCTATCGTGTGTCGGTTGGCAATAAATCCACATGCTGCCGGCAATCGTCAAGTTCGACAGCCGTTCCCGTTCGCGAACGTCGATAAAGTCTTCGGCTCCCGAAATAAACGGCACGCAGACGCATCGCCACCTACGCAGCCTATCACGAATCTCGAAACATTTAGGTAGTTTTGCGGATTTTTCGTTAACACTAAACCTACCACTGGCATGTACTGCTTCACAAAAGTGAGAAGGCCGAATTTATTTGGTGTTTGTAAAGTTTTCATTATAAAACTTGCCCCAATAATATAACTTATTCAAGCGTTTTCCACGAAAGAGTCTCTGAACTTTGCAGAATTGCAAAATAAGAAAGCGGTCACTTTGACCGCGGTAGGTTTAGTGTTAATGACTGCCTGTTGAAAACACTGCAAACGTAGATAAATGTTCTATGTAGGAATTGTAATACCACAGACAGCAGTGCAACTTCCGTTGGTATACGTATAGTTAATTGATTGAAGATGGTCTTTGTAGAGGACAATGTAGAAGCTGGACTACAGTAGGTATATGTATAGTCTCGATGATCCAAACTAATTGGGGGATATCAAGTCTTATTGATCTGTACAATGAATCGTGTTGCATAGAGATCGACACAGATTGAACTGTTTACCTGTGATACATTTATAATATTAAAGGGTTTCGGTATTCGAGGCTCGGGTAATCGAGGTGCCACTGTACATGAGCACTAAAATTATATATGTAATTTACACTAGGTGCATCATAATTAGATAGCGATTTTTCTAAATTTATGGCATAAATGCGTAACCGAAATATAAAGTTGTGAAGACATCAGAAGAATTTAACAATATTGTTACATTGTGTTCTTTCACCTTTGAAAAATTATTGAAAGAAACAATTTATTGTTACTTATTTTCTGTTTCTTATAATTATTTTGCATGAAGTATCGCAATCTAATTATAACGTATTCATCTGTAACACAATGTACTTGGGAATGAAAAGTGTATATATTGACCAGATCAACGTTGATGTCAAAGAAGTAGATTTGTAAATACGTAAAAAATTCGGCTTAATGATCTCAATGAATCTAGCTACAACGATCGTGAAATTCTCAAAACTATCTATCCTGCCAGTCTTACTTATAAATAATGTAAGGTTACAGAAGCTTTGATTTCTGGCAGTTGCAATGTCTTAAGCAAAAAGCCCCTAACTCACGTGGAGTTGCGAGGTGTCTAGATACTCATGGTTGCCAGTGTATAATGAGATGTAGCCCTGTCAGCCGGCAAATCGTAAAATCCTCGAAACCCGGCGCGGTCCAGCGATCACGTCGGCTATTTTCGCTTGAAAGCCTACCAGGAACCGTTCTGCGATAGCGGAAGCTCTTCGAGGTTCGCGTAACGATAACGCGGTGACCACGTGCCGGTGAAACGACCGCCTAATACACGCTCCGAATGCGAAGTATATTTAACCGGGGCCACAGTCGGCGAACATGCGAGAGTTGCGTGTCTGTTATGGCCCCAAGTTTCTCTTGCACACGCCGTTCGAACTTCAAAAGAAAGTTGTAAGCTTCGAAGTTGGTATTTACGTACGGGTGATTGCACCGCTGCCGCTAAAGATGGCTTGCGAACATTCAGACTTTTCCTGTAGACGACAATTTATTTGTTTATTTAACCCGGCGTTTGAGACTGTTGTCGCTGTTCGAGAATTCTATATATATAGTTTTGCTGGTAGTTGAGGATTGTTTGGTTATAGCGAGATATAATTCGCAAAGTGAGAGCACAAGTTATGAGACCAGTTCTGAGGACAGAGGAATATTATTACAGCAACTTCTGGTGTACACAATTCAGCTTTCGAGGAAATTGACTTGGAAAAGTGATCTGATACATTAATCGGATACACCGGTGTATCCGAGAATAGTGTAAGCAGAAACGGCAAGCAATGAACAGACACGCGAGCCAAGTCCGATTCAATGGTACGTGCTCCCTGTTGGAGTACAAATTCAATCTCCTTGAAAATAAAGAGTATGATACAAGAAGTTCTATTTTGCTGTTTCAATTAATTATGCCATGTAGCATTACGTTCTCGCATTGAAACCGTAGATCTTTATGCTGTCGTATCTCATTGTCAGAACCAGCTATTTCTTTCCATTTGTTTCATCCTTACTTTTAAGCGATATTTTAGCCTGCTGTCTTGTATTATCTATTCAACTTTATCAGTGGAATGTTTTATTCTCTCAAATTAATATCATTTTAGTATGCTCATAAATTTTTTTTTTAATCAAATTTTTTTATTGGCACAATTTATTAAAAACATTTTTTAATAAAATGTTTTATTTCCATTTGTAAAGATAGAAGGGTAAGTTGAATTAAATTTTACAGAAGTGTGATGTGAATTAAATCAAGATTTGATTCGATTCTCCATGGGAAATGAAATTCAATCAGCTCCACATTTCGCAAATGCAATTTACACGGATGTTAATTAGCATAGATGTCAATAGAGACTAATTCCATCGATTAGTCACTCTTCGGAATACTATTAATTCTTTCTCATTGTTCTCAAAATGCGTACAAAAATTGTCTTTGTTCTTTTTTTTTCTAGCTTCATTTCATCCTACCACATGATATTATTTATTTCGCACAATTGTTTTCCACGCGTGAACAAAATTAAAATTAAATAATATCCATGTAACATAAACCACGTTTTCATTACTTTGCACAAATGATTTTCACATGCAACAATATTCAACCCAAACTTCTCTTGTCCCAATCTCGATCTACAAGGACGACAGTTTGCATAAAACACAAAACAGTCCAATTTCACCAGTTGCACCCATCTTCGGAGCCCCATTAATTCTCCAACATCGTTCTGCGGATACTTACATCATCCCGAGTCACCTCTGTATTTCAAAAACATCCGCAATCTCTATTTTTACCCGGCGGGAACGTGATCGCGCGAGACAAAGGAGCCACGTGTCGTTTATGCGTGCCACGTTAGGTCGTTACGCGCCGCGATTGCGGCCACGAGGAACGCAGTCGTAAACGCAATTATCGCGGCGCGGAATTGTCCGAGGATCTTAAGAATCCGCTCGTAAGAATGTACTCACTTGGCGTTCTTTGGCAGCGTGCCAGAGCCGGGGCTGGTGTGCGTGGGGGTGAGGCAGAGGGGCGGATTGCTCGAATTTTGAGGCACCAAGGGCTGCCTCGCGTGGGCCGGCGACGTGTGCGACCCGTATCCATCAGAATTCAGCTGGAACCGATAAATTAGGGCTTTCAGACTTCACGCACATTACCATAGAGGAAAACGTGTGAACATTATCGGAGTTGTTTTCCAATAAATCTATCAACGCATTAATTCTCGCATGCCGTGGTTAACATCGCTTAAATTGTTACGTATCAACTTCATCTTACATAATTTTAGGCCCGGTTTGGAAAATGTTGACTTTCTTTATTAGACTTTGTTTTCAAAATGATGTGCCAATGTATTAGCATACTCATCAATTAATTGTTCTTTACATTTTTTTAAGGATTGTCCTTTAAGATCAGTCCTTGATCTTTTTATTAGATTTCATACGAGTGTAACAAGTATTACACTCGTAACAAGTTTTTCATCTGAAAACTTGTAATTTTGATGACGTCTGTAGGTCTAGGTCAAAATGTACCCAGCATCCGTAATTCGGGAGCTAATTTGGTGGTGAAGTTATAAAAATATTTAACACTAAACCTACCAAGTAGAGTAATACTAACTGGCATGTACTGCTTCACAAAAGTGAGAAGACCGAATTTATTTAGAATTTGTCAAGTTTTTATTATAAAACTTGCTCCAGTAATATAACTTATTCAAGCGTTTTCCACGAAAGAGTCTCGGAACTTTTCAGAATTGCAAAATAAGAAAGCGGTCACTTTAACCGCGGTAGGTTTAGTGTTAAGTACTTAAATGTTTAAATAATTGACTGGCATTGTTCTGTATTCATTCCGTAATATTCTTTTTTTATACGCATATGAAAGGAATAAACACCGCATTTGCTGCAAAAATCTTTTCAAGGTTATTTGGAGGTCTGTCGATTATATAAAGCTGAATCTCTCTTTTTATTGTCTTTAGCAGTAATAAAGATACTTCATAGATCAAACGAAAACGTTGACGATCATGAAATTTAAAATAACTTAATCTTGAGAACCACGTTCTATCTCAAATCTGACCTCTATGAAGTATTGGGTTGGCAACTAAGTAATTGCCGATTTGTTCAGTGAAATAAAAATTTTTTTTTTACTTGGAATGAAGTTTAATCTGTAATGTATTTTCCATTTTGTTCGATGACCTTTCGCCATCTCTCTGATAACTTGAAAATTCCACGCTCGTAGAAAGTCTGATCCTTTTTGGCCAAAAACTGAATTAAGTGAGATTTTACAGCGTCATCATCATTAAAAGTTTTACCACGAAGGGAGTTGTCCAGGGATCGAAATAAGTGGTAATCCGATGGCGCGAGATCAGGACTATATGGTGGGTGTAACATCAATTCCCAACCAATATACATCAATTTTTGCCGAGTGGACAAAGACGTGTGCGGTCTAGCATTGTCCTGGTGGAAAATGACACCTTTACGATTGACCAATTCTGGTCGCTTTTCCTTGACCGCTGCATTCAATTTGTCCAGTTGCTAACATTCACGGATAATAAAAAATAACATAATAATAATAATAATAACAATAATAATAATAATAATTTTATAATATAACATTTACGGATATCATAAAAATGGGACTGAGAGACATCTATAACTGAAATCGGCAATTACTTAGTTGCCAACACAATAAAAACGTCTTATCTTAATTAGACATATTATCGTATTGTTGTAAACGACAGAGTTATTTTTAAACAGTGTAAAGAGTTAACATATAAAATAACTTTTAACGCCACTATCTTTCCAAAAGACTTGCTTCTACTTCTAAGATAAAGGAAACTAGTCTAAACAAAATTCTTGTATCCTTACTATTGGTAGGAACTGATTATGAACCTTGCTTCGAGTAATGAATACTATCAATTCACCATGAGTTTTGCCTTCAATCTGATTCAGCCATGTATTTCGGAGAAAATAAATATTTGCAATTTTAATAATAAATGATTTAGTTGAAATTCTTATATTATTTAACACTAGAATTAACAAATCGGTCAAAATGACTGGTTTTTAATTTTTTCTTTTACAGTACCTGATATTACAAAAATATATCTAGGAGAAATGTTTACATAAACATCTTTATGTCAGGAATCGCGCAAAGTTTAAATAAATCCGATCTTGCCGTTATTATAAATCAATATAACATTAGTCCCGTTAAGAGCTTCGTAGTTCTAGTATTTATAAATAAATGAAGAAACCGTAACAGTATCAATGAATTAGAATTTGAAGTCTTGAATCTGATTTAGCCATGCGTCTTGGAGAAATTGTCTGCAATTTTGATAGTAACATCAATGGACTAGGACTTGAAGTTAGGTCTAATTTAAGCACAGCCTAAACTTCGCCAGCTGTCCCCCAACATTAAAATTTATGCTAAACAACACGGAATGATCTATGAATTTTTTCCCAGCTAGAACGCCCATTCGTCTCACTATGGCGGCCGTACGGAGAGAAAAATTGTTGGCGTCGGCCACTTGGAATATTGGCTGCGGCCGCAGGCAAAAAGTCCCACCATTTATCCTGACATCCGCGGATAGCTCTATCCGTTCCACGAGGGAGGAAGTCATTCAGTAGGAAAAATATTCGGTTGGCTCGGTAAGCTAATCGATTCTACCTCCACCTCCTCTATCGTCCCGTCGTTGTTACTAAGAGGTTGTCGCGAGACACCGAAAGTTTTAGGGACGGGGGTTAGCTTAACAGGGAAAAGTTGCTGGGCTTCTTTGTAGACGAAGATTACGAGGGTCACTGGCCAAGTGTCCAACACCAATTTTCATAAATTCGGCATGCTCGCGGTGTCAAGGGTGCCGCATAGTTCTTGCTGGTAGACGAATAAGCTCGGAGGGTGGTGAAACTGTACCCGAAGGTCGTCGCGCGGACTTTATGGGGTGTTGCGAAGTTTCTATGGGTTCTTTATGAAGCTGACTGCTGAATCGAACCCTGCGGCTGTTGAAAGTCTGGGAGCTAGACGGACCATGGTACCCTTTTTAACTTTTAGAGCTATTTTGTATTGTTTATATGCAAAGACATATGTAATCACAATCTTTGTGATTAAAATATTTGAAATATTTGAAATATTTGAAATACTTATTCTAGATTTCCAAAACTGGTTCGTGGAGGACAATAGTTGCTTACTGTTTGAATAAACGATCTTGGTGTGTGGATATGAATATGTCCAAGATTATTTTATGTTAATTAATAATTTTATGTTAACTCATCATGAATGGATAAGGATTCACAATTTATTTACGACTCTATGAATCAATGTCTGGTTACCGATAATTAAAAATACGTTTGCCTTGTCTAGAATACTTTCGGATAATTATTTCTTTTCGTTTAAATCTTTTTATGAACGATATTCTGAAAAATATCTTTTACTTTAATAAATACTGTGTTAGAAAATGTACAGTGGATTCAAAAGTATCTAAACTCTAAATTTCTCACCGTACTAAGCAACAGAAATATTTACAACTTTATTAATGGCCTCAATTGCCCATGAACAATGGTTTGGGTCTGATTTAATTCTGTACCTCGATGAAGAAAAATATCTACAAAATCATTAACCCCTTGCACTACTTTCACGAGTCTGACTCGTGATGAAAATTTTGTGTCAAAATTGAATATCACGAGTCTGACTCGTAATGAAAATTTTGTGCCAAAATTGAATATCATATATATATATATATATATATATATATATATATATATATATATATTATATATAATAATATATATATATATATATTATTATTATTATTGTTATATATTATATTATTATATTTATATAATATAAATATAATGTTATATATATATATATATATATATATATATATATATATATATTATTATTGTTATTATATATTATATGGTTCAATTATGCATCTACAATATTATTACTAAAATTAGCTGACTACGTCAATGTTCATTTGAAACCACAGTCTCTCTAGAGTTGATGACCCAATTTCACCACTTATCTCCGGTCAATACTTTCATCATCACCGGTATCATTACCACTTCACAATAAATAGAAGTGAATAAGTGAATAATTAATAAGAATCTACCATTTACGACTATTGTATCTTCCGGAAAGATTGGCGCCTTTTCGCGTGGAGTTTCGATTAACATTCGCGAACATCGAGCACAGTTTCGCCACCGCATCTGGGAGTCCTGAATCTTTCAGAGGTCCTTGAGATCATACCTTGACGACTGTGCCGATCAGCGAGTCCGGAGGCATTTCCGGGGGGTCAGGAATCACTCCTGGGTTCGTGTGTGCCGGATAATCGTTGTGCAGATTGGCCTCCTTCACAGGAGTGCCATCGAGTCGTTCCATGTCCAGGCCGTCAGTCGGTGTCGGCTGCGAGAGCAAGCGCTCCTTCATCTCGTGGAGATACGGACACCGCTGCATCTCTTCAGACTCGTGGATTCTCGGTCGATCTGCGAAGCAGGAAATCGATCAGCTCGAATCGATCCAGAAACGGGCATAATTTACCCCGTAGGGTCCTATTCTAGCTTCCTAATGTGGGCCTGCGAAATCACGCTTACTCAAAATCAACAAGATGATTTTTAGCCCACATTTTACAATACATTATAGCTTCGAACACACAGACACACATTCTATAATAATACTTTATCAATAATTCGTCAATCGTGTATATTGTAATATTAAAAAAATTCTGCGAAAATTTATTAACATTCTTTTAAATTCATAATTTAAGGGACAGTGTCAAATTGTTCATAGGAAGCTAAAAAATTAATTATTTTACAGTTATAATGCAATACGCTAGTGAAAAGGTGTGGATAAACAATGTTGTTTTAATTATTTCTCATGCTCTACTTCACACATAAGCCTATCGCTTATTTTTGCTTCAAGTGTTAAATCACTAAATTGTGCTTCATCTATATAGTTTCACATTCTAAAGAAACGCATCTCACAATGCAAACCGAAAGAGATCAATTATTTTACGAAATGTGTATATCACAAGTGGGTGTACTTACATTTTAAGGAATGTATGAGTGCAGAGTATGATGCACAGTAGTGTTTGATATACAAATCAATATTAAAGAAACGAAAAAAGGTGTTGAGTGAGTTTAAAGTCGCAGATGAAAGAGTTGATCTATTATACAAATAGCACGAAATTCTAAAAACGAAGCAAAACAGAAATATAGTTTTTAATTAATGATATTGAAAAATGATGGAGCATGATAATCACGGTTCCAGCTTGATGAACACAGTTTTGATTCTAGTTTTAAAGGATTATTCACCGGGAACGAGATCGTCCGAAAGTTGATCGGCGAAAAAAGAAAGGGAGGAGCACACCGCGCGGCAATCTTTCGCGAATGATAAGACTAATCAGAGTACGTGAATAATGCATCGAACGACGGTCGATTCGTCCCCTTCCGCCGAGATTCAACGAGATCGATTCTCTCGAAATCGAGTAGCCAGCTCCGATGCTCTTGGTCACCGCGTTCTGGAAAATCGAATCGAACAACGGAGGAAGCCTCCCGTGCGCCCACCCCCCACGGGATTACAATCTTTTCGCGTCGTTAAGTTTCATCGAACCCGTCCCTGCGCTGAACGCCATGGTTCTTCTTCAACACGATCCTCTTTCACTCTCTTTCCCTCTCTTGATCCCTCCCCTATCTTCGCGAACACTAGTTTTTCCGCTGTGAACACTGTACAGCCACACCCCTTCCAGCTCATTTCGTCTTCGTACTCATCGACCAGTTTTTCTTCGGATTTTCTGGAAAACTGGGGCAATGGTCTCTGATTGAACTATGGGCATGATTTAATCATTTCAGGGCTTGAAGCAGTGTAGCATTTTCTTCAGAGGAACTGTAGTGGAATGAAATTATATGCTCTTCGATACTGGTTTCAGTGAATCAGTGGTGAAAGGAATATGCAGCAAATGTTAAACTTTATCAAGATTTTTGTACGACAGACATATTTTATTCCAGAGATTTAATATATGAATGTTGTAAAAATATATTTTTGTTAGTAGACCGCAGATCTTTGTGCGAAATAGTAAATTTGTGTATCAACTGCAAGGTTCAAGAAGTAAATAAAAATGTGTAAAATTAAATCTCTCCTACTTATTTAGACAGGCGGTTGGGCGTTCACGCGAAGCCCCATGACGACAGAGGGCATCGCAGTCTGTTTATTGTTTATCGAACACTAATCTTAAACTGTTTTAATTTCATAAAGTGCACATGGTGCATAAAGGTCACAGTATCGCGGCGTTGTAAAAATAGTGTTTAACAAATAATGGTGACAGTGGTATAGAAACTGTCACTTGTTACTACAAATTTTTCCAAATACAGAAACTGGATAATTGATCTTTCCTGGACTCTAATTAATAATGCCCAGAGGAACAGAACTTTCTCTCATGTTTTAAAACGTAAGTCCCATAAGGGGTTGACTACAAGTGAACTGTATGCTACACTCTTTTCGTAAAAGCGTTCTGAAGCTGGACGTTCGTTAAAACTGCAATCCAGTCACTATTATTCTACGTACTGGAACCCCCTATTTCTTAAGAGAATTGTTTTAATTTCATAAATATTGCTAAAGAACGTAATACTTTTAATAAAGTGTGATGATCGTAATAAGTCGCATAATTTTTCTTGCGAACGCAAGTGAAATTTGAAATGTATCAGTGATAAAACTACACTTTCATCATTTTAATCTTCATTAAAAATATTATTCTCATAGAAGGATGAACAATTAGCTCTGAGATTTTCTTTTTTCATAATGGAAAACTAAAATAAAGTGAGATAAATATGAAATAAGTTTATTTTCATCGCTCATAACTAATTAAACTATGCGTAGGATATCCTTGTTTAGTCAGAATCAGCGAAAGTTGTGCGAATTTAACAATAAGAACATATGAAGATTAACGTTTGGCGTTACAGCCAAATTAGAGCTCCCAAAAATTACACAACTTCAAAATATCTTGTTCAAGGAAACTGTAATCGGAAAGTTACAATTAATTGAAGTGAATACTTCTTGCATCTTCCTGTATAAAATCGAATAAAGTCTAATGTTCTGGAATATTTGAAGACTTGAAAAGTTTCTGAATCTGAATTAAACAATGGTGTCACTCATATATGACGACGTGGCAGTCAACGCGTCAACCCTTAACGTAACGTTGAAGTTACACACTAAATCTTGCTTCTTATTCTGTTATTTCTCCTTCGTAATCAAGGATGTTATACCTCATGATTTTTAACTCATGTTTCACACGTCAAATTCATATTTTTTAAAATCGTGAATTCGTTATTAATTTACATAAAGATGGATACTATTTGCTAATTTTGAAATACATGAATTTTCTATATCAATTTAAAAAAAGCTCGGTTAATAGAAGATTAAAATAATAAAAGCAATTGCGGGAAGATGACTAGACATCAAGTCTAGACATCATCATCTAAAAGTCATAACATCCTTCACTTCAGATAAAACTTTCCCAAGTCACTTCCCGACACTTCGGAAACGCTGCTAATCATTGCGATCGGCAGGGGTGTTATCGAGTAAAGGGTTGACTTCACTTCACTTCCGGCGTCTGCGAGCACTCGTGATTCGAGGAATCGATATCAGCCCCAACAAGGGCGCGAAAGGGTTCAGAGTTCGCGGTGTTAACTTACTGGACATGTCTTCGTCCATCGGAGCGGATGATCGAGCGAGGCCCGATTTTCTGGATCTCGCGGTAACCGATCTTGCCGAGGAGCGGCGACGTAAACGCGATCCGATCGACACTGGATCAAGGGGAAGTCCGAACATCTCGGACTCGCTCTCTCCCCATAGCAGAGATCGCCAAACATGGCGGTACCGGGCCGCTAGTCACGTGTATTCATCTTTGCGCGGCTCGCGACACGCTTCGCGGAATCTGACAAGACGGGAAAGCGAACGAGAAGCCGAAGACGAAGAGGACGAAGCCTGTTCGAGAAGCCGTTTTTATCGAGCCGGCGCTCTCGATCGACGCGACCGGGACAGAAACTCGATCGAACCGGGACTTCGGGCGCGATCGCGATCACTGCGATCGCAACAGGAAATATTTGTAATGACGCGGATCGAGAATCCAGGTTGGGATAGTTGCCAGTCTATCGGGATCCTAGCGTGGTTTTTTCTTTTCCAAGAACGGCCGGCTGACGTGTCTGCGATAGCGACTTAATCGTTTTGATTCGCTGGATATACCGGGTGGCAGCTAATTTCAGATACGCCTAAGGAAGGGCTGATACGATCTAATAGATATAGTTGTTACAGACGTGGCTCGAGCTCGGGATTTTTAAATTGCCGGCTATCGTGCGGTCTTGTTGCTTACGATACAATGTGTAAGCTAGTACAGCGATGCTTGAACTTGAATTTATATTTTTAGCGTTAGTTTCTTGCGTATTCTTCTGGTTTTTATTTTTAGTGTCTTACTAGCAGTTTTAACATTGTACTTTATGATTGGAGAAGCTTGGTGTGACGACATTTGAATTTATTTTAGCGGGAAACGTTTTTTCTTGGATCTGTTCAGTGATTAAAATTTGAACGCGTTTACGACAAGAGAATTAATTGTAAACTTTGTGGATACGTTTAGCAATCTTCAAAAAATATAAATGATTTTTCGTGAACGCAAAACCTTGTGTTTAACCTTACGGGGAATGATTTTTCTGGAACCAGCCTCTTCTTTTGGTGTTTGCAGAGAATACTATGTATATTCAGAATTATTTTTAAGCGGAACCAAGATTTACACGATTTTTCAAATTTCGTGGACTCATTTATCAATCTATAAGTAATCTAAACAAATTTTTTATACACGAAATATTTACTTTTGTTCTTACAAGAGATAATTTCTCTATCAATTGTCTGCATGTCTGTCTGCAATATCTCTTGGTGTTTACGTGGCTTTCGGAATTTTTATAACGAAAATTAAAGTTTCCGAAAGTTTGAAGTTTTTCAGACTTATTTCTCCATATTTGGAGAATTCTTTTTCGTCCAGAAATAACGGCACTGTTGAATGTTATGACGGCTTAACGAGAGCGCCGTACATAGCCATTGACCAAGTTAACGACAGAGATTGATCGCATATTCATGCGAGGGTTGATCGACTGTCTACGACTTTTCCGCGAAATACCGAGACTATCGTCGAGGTGCTGCTATTGCATCACGCGACGATCCATAATGGGTCCGTGATGTGCCTCGATTGACCGATACACGTGTTCCGTTCGCAGACTAAACACGTTTACCCTGACGTCTGAATGCGGCCTACGAGCTAAATGCGTCAGGTGTCTGTCTTCTACGACAGCGGGAGGCAAAAACTACTGTCCAGATCGACTCCTCGCGCCGTTACCGATCGATTGATTGACATTGAACTGCAAGGCATACATCCCTGGGGACCGTTGATGAATCTTCGACAAGGTTTATCTGACTACGCGCGCGACTGTATCTCCTTGGA